CTGTCGCTGATTGCGTGAAGACTAGCTTCGTCGGTCTCGTGCCTCCGTGCCGACCGCCACTCTGCCTCGTCGAGTTTTCTGATACGTTTATCCCTCTCACCCCCTCTTCTCCCCTTTCGGCTCCTCGCCGCTCGCCTACGGGGTCGTCGCCGAACGTCGACCCGAGTCTACGCGCCTAGTCGCCGCGACATTAGGTCGAGATCTCTCCCCCGGTGCTGACGCTCTGAACAAGAGTGTCCCCGCCGCCGCTACATTGTCTTCCCCACCCTGGACTGCACCGGCAGACTTCACGCGTGGGACACAGAAGACCAAGACCACTGTCACCGACGGAAGGACCTAGACGACGGACTCTGGTACTGGGTACCGTGCGAGCAAAACCCCTGCCCGAACCGTCATCACCGTCCTGCGCGGATCAACTGGAACGCCTTTGCGGACGAGTTCATCCCAGTCCCTGACTCCCCCACCGCTGAGTCACCCACGACTCGATCCCCCATCCCCGGCACTCCGACCGACGAGCTTGAAGTAGCGCTACTCATCGCGCTTCCCCCATCCCCTATCATCCCCCCAACCCGTCCACCGTCCGCTCCACCCATCATGGGACAACAAGGCGGACAACCGCAGACGACAGGCCCTGCCAACAACCCCCAGCAGACCCAACCAGGCACCCAGACGGCGACGCAACCTCCGGACCCCATGGCGATGCTCGTCCAGTCGATGACCCTCCTCACCCAGTCGATGGCCCAGCTCGCCGCCTCGACCACAGGGACCAACAGTCTGAAAGCGGTCCAGAAGCCCTCCCCCTTCAAAGGAGAACAGGGCGGCGAAGCACGACACTTCCTAGCGGCCTTCACCCTCTGGGCCATGTCCCAAGGTTCGACGCTGAACCATGTGGACAACTTGGGCAACGCGATCAGCGCGCGCGAGGACCAATGGATTCGCGCTGTCCTCTCGTTCATGCAGGATGGTGCGGCCTTATGGGCTACCCCGGCGATGGAAGAAGTTACCCAAGGTACAACGCCATTCAAAGGATCCTGGGCCGAGTTTCGCAACCAGTTCAAGGCCCGATTCGAGACGGTCGACGAGGCAGTCGACGCGAAGGAACGCCTTCGTACACTATGGCAAGGTTCCATGACTGTTCCGGAGTACGCCGCCCGGTTCAACGAGCTCTCCACCCGCACGGGCTACTCCAAGGCCGACCTCCGAGACCGCTTCTACGAACACCTGGCGGACTCCATCAAGGACGAGTTGGTGCACACAGCGAGGCCCATCGCCTCTCTCGAGGACCTCATCACTGTCTCCTCAGACATCGACGTCCGCGTCCGCCAACGCCGTGCCGAACGAGAACGTCAGCGTGGACGCACCACGGCCACCACCACAGCCGCCAAACCAGCGACCCCCCTGCACACCACACCCTTCACACCGCCGTCCAGAGACCCGAACGCGATGGACATCGACGCTACTCGGACGCGCGAGGAGTTCAACCGCCTCACTGCGCGGCAAGTGTTACGGCTGCGGTCTACGGCGCACGTCAAG